CCCCTACTTGTGTTCAATGATTTATGATTGAATTCATAAATCATATTATATACAAACATTGCGGTGACCTGCTTAATTTCGAGCCTCACTCAACACCTACTATACATGTCAATGACTTTCATGACTTTCCAAATTTGACACCATTTTTATGTACTTAGATATCTCTAAATTCAAATTCAAACTAGTATAGTTTCTGAGTTATTAAAATGTATGTATTAAGAATAATAGATCATATAAATCATTTACAAAAAAATAAAACGTATATAATGTATAATTTAAAACTAATAATTATACGCATAACATTTTTAGAAATATGAAAATGACTACCTATAGATTAATTACTGTATAATTTTCATATCATTATAGCCCCTAATCTTCCAAACCAATTAAATAAATAAAATATTGTTAGTGCATTAAGTTAAATAACTCAAAAACTTCTATTCAAATTTTAGATACTTCATAATTTTCAAAAAATGATGTGTCTAAACAATTTATAGGAAAATAGAGGTTAGTAATAATCATGGGCACCCATTAGGGGGGGCAAGACAGGGCACTTGTCCCCCCCGGAAAAAAATATTATGAACTTGTAGCTCAATAAATATTACCACAATATTACCTTATTACCGAGGCAAATTATTTGTTGAAATCACTTTTAAGATATGAAATAAGTATAAAAATATACTCATTGTTATCGTATATTAAGTTAATATTATTAACATCATAGATAGGTCGTAGTCTATAGTCTGTATAGGTACCTATATATAAAATTATTTATCGCAGATAATTTGTGGTAAATCCATAAAGATCACAATATAGGTACTACAAATATTTTATCAGACAACATTGACTTCATTTTAGTTGTCCTCTTTCTTAACAAATTTAAGGCTGTACTTGACAAAAATACTGGATTTCAAACGATGTCAACAATTTCAAAAAATTCTAAATGGTGAAGAAGCTTCAAGAGTGTTTTCCGGATGATTTCAGTGCTGATGATTTGGCCCATTTCAGATTTGCCCAATCACTTCAGTGGATGTGGAGAGAAGTTTTTCAAAATATAAATATTTATTAACAGATAATCGTCGTTCATTTACTTTTGATAACATCAAAAACGCTCTAATTATACAATGCAATGATTTTTGAGTAATTTGTACGGTTTGATAAATTTATAGAACAAATATTTTTTATTTCATTTTTAGGGAATGATTTGTCATTTTTATGTCATATTTTGAGAAATTTGTAAGCTTTGATAAATGTATATAGAATTTTATAGTAAAATAGAGTATAATATTTTAAAAAACAAAACCATATGTTCCTTCGCTCGACTACAGGAGAAGATCGTTTAAATGGGTTGTGTATGATGAGCCTTCATGGTGAAATAGTTAAAGCAAACAAGGATACTTTCATTCAGGATGTCATTAATATGTTTGGAATAAAACGAAGAAATTTACAGTTCTTATTTACTGATACAGTGATACCGAATAATATACTTAATTATATTATTTAATTTCTATTTTATTATATACTTATTAAAATTATTATTTATTTATTTATTTGTTAGGCAATTATTATTTATTTATTTATTTATTCACATGGCAATTATTCCGTTGAGAATCTAATATAACATGCATGTATACATTTATATGTGAAAAATAACATTAAATCTTTAGTATCTTACATTCGAAAAATTTTTTATTTTGACCCCCACCCCCCAAAATGTTACCTATGGGCGCCCATGGTAATAATGAAAATACATATAATAGCTTATTCTCATTTTCCAGAATATTTAAAAACTGAATCATTTCATACCTAGTCGATAGCCGACCAAGACATTTGTTAGTCATCAATTTAATTAATCGGTGAGTTAACACTAAATTATTTGGTTTTTAGTGAGTTAGGACCATCACTATTTGCTGCTAAAAAAATGGATGCAATTAGAAACATGTTACTACTTACTAGTACTTGAACATGACTTATTAAAAACCACGAACATGAAATAAACGACAAATTGGTGTAGCACTTTAACAGGTTATATACATTAATTAAATGTATTTTACTCGTGTTTTAACACAGATTTTTAAAAATCATCTATCACAACCTATGTTATAACATATTTTATATTGAAGCATTTTACGTACTTTGATAAAAACGGTTGGCTCCGGTTTCACTAGTATATCAGTACCACTGACAAAGGACAATGATTCAAGGAAGTTGGCGGGCTCGTTACAATCGACGGTTCTTCTGCGGTATTACCAACGGTTTGGGACTTATTACCAGTTAGCACAGGTATTCGCCTAAAAATATAACAGAACCAATTAATACTAATTTTAATTACAATAATTATGTACAACGGAGGAAGAATGAATAGGTACTTATCCTAGTAAGATGTAGTACATATGGATTTTGAGATATTTGATTTATATTTATATTTTTCTAATTTTCTTAAATAATTTTAAGTATGTATAAGTTTCTATTCTTAACATATTATAAAACAAAGTCCATTTTTCTTTATGTATTCTTGGATCTTTAAAACTACAGTGATTCAATAGGAAGGTTTATGTATATAACATGCATAATATAGAAGAGAAACACCCCCGGGAGGTACTCAAAATGGAATTTTGAGATTTACGATAGACATTTTTGTTTATAAATGGTTGCTATTGGTTATAGGATAAATAATTAGTAAAAATTAGTATTTTAAATGTTTGCCATTAGTTACTCTGGCAGATGAGGTAAAAGTATCCATCAAAGCTTTTAGTTTCGAATAAAGAAACTATATCTTAAAACAAATATGAGAGTTGAATGTATATTTGTGGCTATTATAGGTTTTAAAAAACTACTTGACCGATTTTGTGAAAATTTCCATTAGTTCTTGGAGATATCAGGAATGTTTAAAGAATAGTTTGAACCACTTTTGATTTATACCCAATACACCACAAATAAATTGTTCACCTTGGTCGATTTAGTTCGCAAAGCTACCCCCAAATTTATCTGTGAACTGAGGTACCTAGGTAGGTACACCAAAACCAAGATAAACTTATAAAATCTACATTTTTTTAAAAAATTTTTTGGCGGGCGTAATCGGGTTAAAGGTACAACTAAAATTATGTTGGTTTATCCGAAGCTAATAGCCTCAAAAAATGACGGGACCATTGTCAATAAAAGTTATTATGATAGATTATTACTTAAATTGCCCAACTCAATTTGTTCTGCAGGAAGCAATGAAAGCGCCATCACCATTTTTAAACATTTTTTTGCTAGTTCATTGTCCCTTATGTATGTTGTATAATGCAACCTTCTTATATTTTTCCACAAACTCTAAAAATGAATAAGTTTTAAAATAATTCTTAACTTTAATATACTGAATTATGATAAATACTTGCCTGTACATAATGGAACCAGCACGAAACTAAAATGGCATCAGGGTATACAATTGAAAATGCATTTTCAATCCAATTTCTTTGAAAATCATTATAACTGGATGCTGGACATTTGGAAAAATACTTTTAAACTCGTTAATACCGTTAGATATGCATTCTGAGTTTTTCTTTCCATTACAACATAACATATTGGAACAGACTGTAAATGTATAATTTATTATTTTTATTTCATTTAAATAACATGTGCAAAGTTTAAGGGTCCTGGTTGCAATTTTTCAAATTTTCCGCAATTCTATCAAATTAGAAAATTAAATTTTATATTTTAGTTGCCACCTCAATTATAATACTTTTCCAGTAATCTACTTCCCGATACCTATTTGAGGGGGGTAGATATGCTGTATTATATAGATCACAACACACTTTACAGGAAAAACTCTCACACCTCATCGATTGGTCCGATTTCCGTTTTTTTTTGTTAGATAGAGTAAAGTTTTTTATAGGGCTTATTGGACTTTGATTTCTGATTACGTTGCTAAAAACGAAAAATAATGCAAAAATTAAAAAGTTGTGAAAAAGGATTAAATTCAAACTTGTAATATACGATTTAGAAAAATAATTTTGAAAATCCAAGTCCAATGCGCCCTGCAATAAGTCTTCCTTAATCTAATAAAAAAAAAAAATTACCAAAATTGGACCAATCTACGAGGCATGAGAGCTTTTCCTATAAGGCATGTTTTTGAGCAAAAAACAAGTCACACGCTGGTCCCTTAAGAATAAATTGTAAAAAAGTATAATGTTTACAGGGTGTAAGATGTAACAAGAGTGTTTTAAATTTGTACTGGAATTAGTTAAATAGTCTTGTTATACCTCATACATATGGTCACATAGAGTGTAATACAATAATATTAATAGTATAATAAAAATCTAAAACATTTTCTTACGTGATTTTGAATAATATATTATGCATCATAAACAACTGCCGGCATTTGGGCATAGATGGTACGACTTTGAAAGTTGCATCAGCGTGCAATTTTGTACCTTCATTTAAAACTACATCATTGATGACCTCTGGACAGGCAAACATAACATGAGCTTTCCCATTGTCATCTACTATAAACTCCTGAAAAAATCGATGATCATTGCAATGAATCAAGTTTTCTTGTTCTTCTAAAATCTCTTTCAAAGAATTTAGAGTTTCGTGTAGTACTGGAACATGTTCACGCCTTGCCTTACGCATTGATGACTCGGCTGATGTCCAAAGATAAGTGTAAGCCATATTTGGATTTCTAGATAATAATATTGAATAATAAGGTAAATTTAAATATATCAAACATGTTGATATATATCTATGAAAGTATTAAACTATTAATGAATTTAAAGACATGAAAAATGTACGTGGAGTTATTATATTAGTTACGTATGGTATCAAAAGATATTTTATTCAAAATAAATGTAACATCTTATTTTTTTTTTTTTTTTATTAATATAATAGTAAATTAAATTATAAAAACATGTACCTACCTACTAGTATAATTTTTTGTATATCAATATTTTACAAAATGTTTTCCCTTTTATCGACTCCCAAGTGAGAACAACCTAGAGATAGATGTATTGTTGGTTTTAAAAATTAAATATTCACTATCAATATTATATAAACCTATTAAAATATTTGGAGCCACAGCTATAAAAACATAAACAGTGGGTTGAAGCGTACTATAAGTTTTTAGAACCAACAAGACCTGAGTACTATTGGAAGTATACTCATTTTAACTTGATATTTAGATTGAAATACACAACATATGTAAGTTACACTCTTAATTCTTGATGCACTCTTCAAACTACAAATTTATATATTTATGTAGGGTCGGACTGGGGCCCTAAATTGAGTGTAAAACTAACCCGCCAATCTAATTAAAAGACTGTGAATTAAAATTACACGACATTATTCTATTCCCAATACAAAAATATTGTAAAGGAAGTTCTCAAGTAACAACAAATATAAACATTGTTTGCGGTCACTTGCGTTTTCAATGTACTTACAGTATTTACATTATTTACAGTATTACTATTATTAATATGGATATATTTGAAGTATTTGCTATAATTACTGTAATAATTTTTATTCAAGTTTACCCTATTGCTATTATTATATTTGTGCTAAGAATATTTATATGAACAATTTTTTTTAGGATCTGAATGTAAACATTATTGATTCTATCCATGATGTAAAAGCTATATATGAAAAAGCTATATATGCCTTTGAGAATTGTCTGATTTGTGTTTTTAATTTACTTAGTTCGCTTAATTTACATATGCATACCTACTTATTCTAATTTATATGCAGCCATGAAATATGTACTAACCTTATCGGTAACTCAGGTTAATTGTGAACGAGTAATTAGCAAATTAAAAATTATCAAAAATCGTCTACGCGCTTCATTATCTAATGACAGCTTAGATGTTTTTTTTATTAATGTCTGTAGAAAAAGATATATTGGATGATTTGAAAGTTGAAGATATTTTGGACATTATTAAAAACTCATATTGTCATACAATACCTAAATTATTATCGTACACATAATTACTTACAATTTATAAGGTTAAATTTGTCATACTGCTATTTAGTGTAAATGATTTATACCTATATTATGTTTGATATATTTTACATTTTCTTTGTAATCAACATAATAAAATCCTAATTCTTGTACTAATATACTGTTGAGAAAATTATAATATTTTGTTAATTTAAGTTGGGCTGATAAATGTAGAAAACTGGCCGGTTGCTTACAGAAAATAGTGGGCCGAAACCCTTCCAGTCCGGCCCTGTATTTATGCACTCCTCAAATATAACAAATCGACACACTTAGGCACTCTAAAACCGAGAATTTTCAAAAGTAACCAAGTACGTGTAATTACAAGTAGGTACTATACCTGATAGCTTCTTCATCGTACATAATTTTCAAACGTGCAGTATCGAATTGTGCTCTATTGATAAGTACCTTCCGATATTTTTTTTTTTCGAATTTTTTGAGGAAATGGATCATGGGTGTGTGATTTACCGCGTACAATATCGTTCCATCAATTTTCCTCTCGACCGTACCATTACAGGTGACATTTGGACTGGAACAAGTATAATATCTAAATGGTTAAAAAAAAAATCAACAGTTTGGTAAAAACGTTCATACTTACGAAGTAATTACGTGGGCATGAATGCATGATAGTTGGTGCGTGGGTACTTTTCTGTTATACCTACTACCGCGAGCATACTGCATAGACAAAGAAAATGACCGCGAGTCTCAATTCTGTTATCTCGACCACCTCGCCGACGCCGATTTAGATAAAAATCGATAATAAAATATCATAGACGGCGCCCGATGCACTTTCCCGCGTCGCTGGTGTTATTAAATAATAATAATTCTTTAGTGTCGCCTATCACTGTGATTGGCCGTCGAAGCGCTAGTTGTGCGTTCGCCTTTGTAACGCTGGTCATGTCAGTGTAATTGTAATATTATAATGTAATCTACTGGTAGTCCTCTTGATAAGTTTTCCCAGGCACGGTGCCAAGGGGGGGCAAGGTGGGGCTCTAGCCCCCCCAGAAAACCGATCAGCCCCCTCGCCAGCCCCCCCACTGAAAAATATGTACGATATAATTAATGTTTGTTGTATACAGTTAAAAATATTTTTAGTTGACTTATTATTTTAAATATGTTTATGTTTGATTAACACAATACTATTGTGTAAGGAGTTGGTATTCGTACCTACCTACTTATATTAGTTTAGTAATTAGCATGACAAATTTCTTATTTCAAATACCTAATTAAATAATTTATTCAATTTTCTTATTTTGTTATTTTTATAATCTTATTTGTCATGGTAATTAGTTCACATATTACTTGATAATTAATAAAAAAAGATTTCTTAAAGTATCTATGTTTTAATGTATATATATGAACTATTTTAACCTCCGAAATTTAACAAAAAATATAAAGTAGGTACTTCAATAGTCAATACATACACTACTATGCAAATACCAATTTAAAAATGTATTGAATTAAAAATTTGAAATGTACTAGTTAAATATAAGGTAGGTAATCAAAAGTTTTTATTTAAAACAAATTGTATTCCTACTGATATCAGTGCAATTGTATACATTTTTGTTAACTTTTTCAATATTAAAAGATTTTCAATCATTTACCGTATGGTGCATTGTGCATAAACAGATATTCTATAAAAATCAATATTTAGCTCATAAAGAAATTATTATTTTTGTATATCATATTATCATTATGAATATAGTTGTTGAAGGTCTTAGGTCTGTGATTAAACATTTTCTTACATATTACATAAGGTACAAAAAAAATATTTGATATTATTCTTAAAACATTTTTAACTATTCAAAAGTTTGTAAATATTATATGTTTAGACGTTTAGAGCATACAATATAAAACGATTAAAACGTATGTACTATATAGCTAATAGCTATATTATGTTATATGATACGAAAATATTTATATTTCATTTAAATAACCTCAGCATTTGTTGAAACAATTTTAGCCTATGTAAAAAAAATATTTGCCCCACTGTGCCCCCCCTGGAAAAAATTCTAGTGCCGTGCCTGAGTTTTCCCCAACAGCTTTTTCGGCGTTACGCCGTTACCTATTAATTTCCCCGTTCGTTGTACAAATTCTTTTTTCATAGCGTCTTTTACTATTGCTGCCCGTAATCCTTCCTTGGTTTGATATTTCTTAGATTTTACTCGTCGTACTGAATTGCCCGTAGAACTACTATCTGAACTATCTGACTCCGTATTCATATACCTATACCTAATGTTTGTTAACATTACCTACTAAAAATCTATTAATTCTCATTTGATTTATTTAATTAAATATTTTATTTCGTATATTATATTTCATTCCCGTACACACTTATTTATCCTGTACGTATTTATTTTACGCACGCCGCTCGGTAATGTATTGTGTACCTACCTACTAACACACACTCAGTGCTATACAACGTATGTATTTTACGTAAATTATTACGCGCTTGGAGGTTCGCCGCGATCTTTTTACGAGTAACAATATTATTAAACTATTACCGGGTTGTTCTACTTATTTTATTAAGGTTTTATTATTGAAAAATCGGTTATGTTGATATAATAATTAAATAAATTCATAACCGATTTTTCATTATGTTTATATTATCTCCGTAAACAAACCAATATATAAATTGTAGATATATTTTTTAGTAGAGTTTAGTTGATAAACCTATATCAAAATTGTTGAGACAGAAGAGTTGATTTCCCTTCTATGTTCCTCTGGTAGACAATTTTATTAAAGTGCCACCCAGTGAAAATTACTTAAAATATACTCTGCCTACGGTCCCGTGGGTTTTTCATTCTCGATAATTATTTGACAAACGAAATGACAATATGAGTCATAAATAATTAATAAATAACACAATTATATAATAATTTCAAACATCGACCTTTTTACAAAAACCGTTGTCGCCCAGCAATTAAAATATAATATATCATCTACTAGGCGACAAAAAGTTTTCTCTGGGCGTAATTTCTGTCCCCCAGTATATTAGTTAAATTGTTAAAATATCCGCACTCAGAGCGGCTCGTGGGTTTTTAATGAAGTAGTGCACATTCAAAAAAAAAAAAAATATAGTCAATATTATTATATTATATATTATAAATTATAATATTGTTTACAAATTTTAGTCATTCACATTTCACCGATTAGCTTTTATTTTGTTAAACAGAAACGCGATTGTTGTTTTGAATTTTCGATAATGATCGACTGACGTTATAATATAATCAGCACAAATATTTATCATAATAAACGGAAGAGAGTAAAAATAAATTATAATGCCTGTGCCGACGAGGCGAATGTAAACATCAATTCCATTATAACAAACACGAGTATTGCGTGTTTGGACTTGTTATAATTTTTACATTGTACAAATGTGCACAGCTATTGTGTACCAATATAATACACAACGATACCGTTCCGTCGCCGATAGCCTCCCGACTGTTTGGCCACCGAAAGTGATCGAAATAACCCGATCCAAATATTATATTATTTTCATAATATTCTGAAGTTATGGTTTTTTTTTTATTTTTAAACGTAATATTGATAATACTTAGTACTTGGTTGTGTTATTATGATGTATGTTTTCGATTTTTCTTGAGTTTGGGTAGGTAGGTAGGTAGTGCACGTGCACGTCTTGTACACGAGCCGCCACTGACTGACGCGTGAGCTTATATTATGT